ACTTCTGCACTCACATAATCAAAGGGCCTTTGCTCATCCAGACCATTTCTCAAGTGAAGGAAAGCCCAAACTAAACAATGTCTGCAGCCTTCTATGCTAAAAGATAGGCTGGAATGAGGGCTGGTACATGAACCCACCTCCATGAACAACTCATTCTCCCTTCTCTCCACACTTTCCATCCTCTAGTTAAAGAGATTGAGCACAGAGGGTGTACGGGACTGCATGCAAAGCTTTTCTCACCAGTTCCTCCATTCACAGTTCCTAAGAATGGTCAACATTTCCACTTACTCTGGACAAGTCTGCACTATCTTGCAAAGTGATGAGGATATTTAACTCAAGGAAGATGGGGAATCCTATAGATACACTATGTCTTTGAGGTATTTCCTCAGGAATATATAACATCTGGCACATGGTGTGCCCAAGCAGAAGGGGTCCTGGGCTAATACATTAGGAGGGATATGTGAATTAGAGGACACAGAGTTGGCAAAGAAGTGTCCCAGCTGTCCAAGCAGTTGCTGATAGCTGTCAGCCCCATCAGTACATGGGGGCCACCACTTGCGGTCTTCCTTTGCCAGTGCCTGAGGGTGATTAGGTGACCCTGTAATTGATGATGGAACATTTGTCCTGTAGGATAACTGGAGGGAAAGCCTTTCCTGCAGGAAGCTAGAACTGGAATTGCAAAGACTCTCTAGCTTGGTGAGTTCAGTCCTGGACACAGATGCATCAGGAGACAGAGGCTGTGTGCTAGACCAGGTGGGAAAGCTTTCCTTGCCTCTGCCCTTCTCTATTTCCACCTTCATTTACTTTCAGGGTTTCTTCTATCTTCCACACAGAAATGACAGCTCCAAGACTGCGTATTTTCTCCTTTCCTGCAGGACTTCTATTAACTTCTGGTTTAATGCCTATGTTATTCTGCTTTCTTCTTTCTTCTTTTTCTGTTTTAGAATAACAACAGTCTTCTGCAAGGAGTTGTTGGCTTGACAGAATACCCAGCTATCCAGCCAGTGGGGACGAGGGAGATTTTCCACCTTGATGGCAAGCCCTTGGGAAAAGTAGCACTTATATGATAATCACAATGGCAAGGGAAATAGCTCCTCATTCCCCCTGCTGCGAGAGGTACACATGACACCTCCTTGGAGCAGGAGATGACACAGCCAAGTGGTACTGGTGGACCTGTATTTTGGATGATTCCTAGCACTAGTTCTAATTATGGTATTTCCTAATGTTGGACACTTTCTACTGAAATATCTACCCAGAATTCATTCGGTGAGTGCAGCTGCATGCTTGCAGAGGAGACCTAAAACATGCTTTGGTGCTGGCAAAGCTCAGCCTC